AGATAGATAGATAGATAGATAGATAGATAGATAGATAGATGATAGATGATAGAGAGATGATAGAGCAAGGGAGGGAGGGAAGGAGAGAAAGAGGGAGCAGGCAGGCAGGTAGGGATAGATAAATAGGTAGGCAGGCAGGCAGGGACAGGTAGGTAGGTAGGTAGATAGATGGATGATAGCTAGATAGATAGCTAGATAGATAATTAGATAGATAGATAATAAACAGATAGACAGAGAGGCAGAGAGGCAGACAGACCGTCAGGCAGACAGACATACAAATAGGCAGGAAGGCAGGCAGGGATAGATACATGATAGATGATAGATGATAGATAGATAGATAGATAGATGATAGATAGATAGATAGATAGATAGATAGATAATAGACAGATAGACAGACAGATAGGCAGGCAGGCAGGAAGGTAGACAGGGATAGATAGATGATAGATAGATAGATAGATAGATAGATAGATAGATAGATAGATACATAGATAGATAATAGATAGATAGATAGATAGATAGATAGATAGATAAAGAGGGAGTAAGCAGGTAGGCAGGAAGGATAGATAGATAGATCTATCTATCTTTAATGTATTTAATTTATAACAACACCCAGGAGGAGGGGTGGAAACAGGGTCACAGGAGACTGTAAATAACATATGCCAGAGTTGGCTTCATACAGGGCGGTGCCAGTATGTCGCCTCTAATAAATCTTTTGAAGTGTTTTGAAGATTGGATTGAGAATCATGATTTAATTAGGGCGATTGATGGAATCCTGACAACTTTAGTAAGTCTCCCCCTCATCCCGGCCTGGAATCCTGCATCCAGTTTTGGTCCCCGTGTTCCCAGAAAGAGGTGGAGGCTTTGGGAAAATGTGCCGAGAAGAGCAACTAAAGAGGATTAAAGGCCTGGGAGACTCAAACACACGAAGGACGGTTGCAGGATTTGGGCTTGGCCAGTCTAGAGAAAAGAAGGACTGGGGGAGACATGAGGGGAAGATTCCCCAAAGGAGAGGCGGGGAGTGTTTAACCTATTCTCTAAAGCAGTGGTGGTCTTCAGCCGGTTTGCACCGGTTCACACGAACCAGTAGCAAGGATTTGGTGTGGGTGGCAAAACAGCTAGTAAATTCTGGCTGGCCATGCCCCTGACCCGGTCGTCCGGTCACCACTAACTCGCCCTGCCTACCTGACACTCGCCCGCCCAGTCACTCCTTAAGTTTTTCCCCCTCCCAACAATCAGCTGTTCCTACGATCAGCTGTGCCGGGATTCCCCCCACTGTCCTACTGCTTCGCCCAGGAGGAAGAAGGGAAGGAAGGAAGGAAGGAAGGAAGGAAGGAAGGAAGGAAGGAAGGAAGGAGAGGAGGAAGGAAGGAAGGAGAGAAGGAAGGAAGAATAGGAGGAAGGAAGGAAGGAAGAATAGGAGGAAGGAAGGAAGGAAGGAAGGAAGGAAGGAAGGAAGGAAGGAAGGAAGGAGAGAGAGGAGGAAGGAAGGAAGGAGAGGAGGAAGGAAGGAAGGAGAGGAGGAAGGAAGGAAGGAGAGGAGGAAGGAAGGAAGGAAGGAAAGAAGGAAAGAGGAGGAAGGAATGAAGGAGAGGAGGAGGAAGGAAGGAAAGAAAAAGAGGTGGAAGGAATGGAAGAAGGAGAGGAGGAGGGAGGGAGGAAGGAGAGGACGATCAGCTGTTCCTATGATCAGCTGTGCCGGGATTCCCCTCACTGTCTTACTGCTTCAACCAGGAGGAAGGAAGGAAGGAAGGAAGGAAAGAGAGGAGGAAG